TTATTATTTTATATTATATAATAATATATCATATTAGTATTATATTATATTAAGTTATATTATATTATATTATATTATATTATTTAATACTATATTATATTTTATTATTTTTATTACATTATATTATTTTATATTATATTATATTTAATTATATAATATTTTATAATATTATATTATTTTAGTATTATATTATATTAGTATTACATTATATTATTTTTTATTTTATATTATATTATTTAATATTATATTATATTTTATTATTTTGTATTATACTATATCAGTATTATATTATATTAGCATTATATTATATTAGTATTATATTATAATATTTCATATTATTATATTATATTAGTATATTATATTATTTTTATTATATTATTTCATATTATATTAATTTATATAATATTTTATTAATAAATATTATATTAGTATTATTATATATTGTATATTATATTATATTAGTATTATACATTATATCATATTATTATTATTATGTATTACATTATATTAGTATTATATTATACTATATTATATTATATTATTTTATACCATATTGTATTATCATATTATATTATACTATATTATATTATATTATATTATATCATATCATATCATATTATATTATATTATATTATATTATATTATATTATAGTATAGTATTTTATATTATATTATATTAAATTATTTTATGTTATATTATATTATATTCAATTAGTATTATTATACATTATATCGTATTAGTATTATTATGTATTATATTATACTATATTATATTATATTGTATTATATTATATTATATTATATTATATTAGCTTTCAAAAATGTTGAACTTAACTGTAATAATTTAAATAACTGTATTAAAGATATTTATTTAAAACAATTCAAGCATTCAACAATAAACATGTACAATAATATACATTTCATATGAATATTACAATAATTAATCATATAAAAAATAGAATATAGCATTTATTTACCATGTAATAATTCCAACATACTAAGACAACTGAATTATTATTAATATTAATATTAAACAGACTGGTCACACTTATTTATAGAAAGGTTTTTATTTGTTATTGTCCTTTAATGTAGGCTATTTACTAACATAAAAACTAATACTTGTTCAGCGTTTAATAATTAGTAAAATATACTTGTTAACATTAGCTAATGCACTCACTGAACTATTGTGATAACATGAGCAGACATTAACTAATACAACCTTATTGTAAAACCAATATTTGCAACAATAAAACCTACATGTTGAATACAAATAATTAATAAAAAGATCGATCAAAATTCAATAAAAAAATTATAATTAAAATGATAAAAATATACACACCTAAAAATAAAAGTTCTTAACTTAATAACATGATTGTATTATTGTAAGAAATCACTTTAAACATATTAATTTACAGCTTGATAGGTTTTTCCTACTTCTTTTCTTCTTTCTTTGTAATTATATATGTATTTTAGGGGAAAGTTAACTAATATTTATAAAACTAATTTATTTTTATTTATATTTAAAGAAAAAGTTATTTATATTTAATAAAAAAAGCGTATACACTAACTACAGTCTTGTTGCCTATCTAACTATTAGGAGCAACAAATAATAAGTTTATTATATGTTATTTGTTATTATATGTTATTATATAAATAAGTTTAATATGTGTATTTAATTGCTTGTTTGTTTGTCGGTTTGTTTGCACATACACATTTTAGACTGTAAAGCAAGTGCAGAAGACCCTCATATAAACCGACCTCTGCTTCCGAGTTGACGGTTCGAGTGGTGACTCCCACTGTGTAAATCCCTCCATTGGCGTCTTCGTGGATCTTGATGTTGGATTTCTTGACTTCTCGGGTGGAGTCGAACAGGTCCAGCACCTCCTCATTGTAGAGCTGCGAAACAAAACACCGCGCCTCAGACAGCTGAAGACATGCAGCGCTGCTTAGGTAATTCATTAGCCAAGCTCAGACACGCATGCTAACATCGCAAACGTCTACGCAGCTCTGCCAAAGACAGCTGTGTTATTTGTGGCTCATTATCAGCACCACCCTAAAATGACACTGCAGTTATCAGAGGACAGATTTAACCCGCAGAGCTGATACGGAGAGATAACCGCACATCTGCACTTACGTTAACTAGCGCCTTTGGATTTTACAAGACATCTTATAGTATTTTGTGGCCTAAAATCAATGAATTTATAAAGGATTTTTTTTTTTTCAATTTCAGACATGAAATGGCATGATGTCTAATATGCTAACTGATTTGCTGTCAAAAGCTTGACGTCTGTTTGACATCCACATATTAATGCCCTGTTGATAGCCAAAAATAACGAGACTAAAAGTTTTATAATATAAGAAAGGTTTTGTTCATCTGAAAGCTTCAATTACAAATTACACTGGATTCACTTCCCTACAACGCATGTAAACTACCTTGATGTCAAAAAACAAAACAAAAAAAAACATCAAACATAAACATCTAACATTGGTCTTAAAAACATAAAACATGGACATTTACTATTGGGGTCAAAAACAAATAAAAAACAGACATTAATATTAGTGTCAAAACGCATATAAAAAAAATTGACATCTAACATTAGCGTGAAAAACACGTCAAAACTTGAAATCTAACATTGGCATAAAAAGCCACGTTAAAACTTGATATAACACGTCATGAATTGAAATCTAACATCGTCGTAAAAAACGTAAAATTGACATCTATCATCGCCATAAAAAACATGTGAAAAATTGACATATAACACTGTCGTAAAAAAAACACGTCGAAAATTGACATGTAACATTGACGTAAAAAAAAACATGTCAAAAATTGACATGTAACATTGCCGTAAAAAAAACACGTAAAAAATTGACATGTAACATTGCCGTAAAAAAAAACACGTAAAAAATTGACATGAAACATTGCCGTAAAAAAAAACACGTCAAAAATTGACATGTAACATTGCCGTAAAAAAAAACACGTAAAAAATTGACATGTAACATTGCCGTAAAAAAAACACGTAAAAAATTGACATGAAACATTGCCGTAAAAAAAAACACGTAAAAAATTGACATGAAACATTGCCGTAAAAAAAAACACGTCAAAAATTGACATGTAACATTGCCGTAAAAAAAACACGTAAAAAATTGACATGTAACATTGCCGTAAAAAAAAACACGTAAAAAATTGACATGAAACATTGCCGTAAAAAAAACACGTCAAAATTTGACATATAACACTGCCGTAAAAAAAACACGTCAAAAATTGATATCTAACACTGGCGTAAAAAAAAAAAAAACACGTCAAAAATTGATATCTAACACTGGCGTAAAAAAAAAAAAACACGTCAAAAATTTAAATCTAACATTGCCGTAAAAACACATAAAATATTGACATATAACATTGCCATTAAAAAAACAAATCAAAAATTGACATGTAACATTGCCATAAAAAATACACGTCAAAAATTGACATTTAACATTGCCATAAAAAACACGTCAAAAATTGATATCTAACATTGTCGTAAATAAAACACGTATAAAACTTGACATCTAACATTAGCAAAAAAAAAAAAAAAAAAAAACGTAAAAAATTTGTATCTAACATTGTCGTAAAAAAAAAAACATGTCAAAAATTTATATCTAACATTGGCGGAAAAAAGTCAAAAACTGACATCTTACATTGTCTTAAAAAAACATTTAAAAAATTGATATCTAACATTGGCGGGGAAAAAAACACATTTCAAAACTTGATATCTAACATTGGGGGGAAAAAGTCAAAAATTGACATCTAACATTGTCTTAAAAAAACACGTCAACTTGATATCTAACATTGTGGTAAAAAAATACATAAAATTGACATTTAACATTGTCGTAAAAAAAACCATTTCAAAACTTGATATCTAACATTGGCGGAAAAAAATTTAAAAAATTGACATCTAACATTGTCTTAAAAAAAACATTTCAAAATTTGATACCTAACATTGGCTTAAAAAAACACGCCAAAACTTGATATCTAACATTTGCAAAAAAAAAAAAAAGTCAAAAATTGACATTTAAAATTGGCTTTAAAAAAACGTCAAAAATGAACATCTAATAATGGCGTAAAAAACAATATAATTAACATTGGCGTCAAAAACACACAAAAAAAAAATCACATGTAATATTGGTGTCAAAAACATAAACAAATCACATCTAGTATTGGCGTAAAAAAAAGTAAAATAATTACAAGGAACATTGGCATCAAAAACACAAAAAACTGACATCTAATATTGGCGTCAAAAAACACGTTAAAAATTGACATCTAATATTGGCGTCAAAAAAACGCATCAAACGTTGACATCTAACATTGGCAATAAAAAACATGTTAATAAACGGATCTAATATTGGCGTCAAAATATCAAAAATCAAGGAATGATAGTCCTATAATCCTTTCTTGCGGTGTTTTTTAACGCCAATGTAAGATGTCAATGTTTTATCTCTGTATTAATGACTTGATGTTCAATGTGGTCAGTTTGCTCGGTAGCTTGCCTTGTATGGTGTCATACTAAGGAGCAGGATGTGTTTGGGAAAGACATTTATATGACACAGATAAGAAAACGCAGCCCAGCTATACATTTGAGATTAGCAAAAATGCACATAGCGCCCTCTAGTGGATTTGTCAACACAAGCTGCAAGGAAACATCATCATAGCAACGTATTTAACGTATTTACGTAGCCGTGGACATATGTATATAATGTAAAAACAAACAAATTACCTAGCAACATTTGCATTAGCATTACAAAAACAATTCTAGAACACACTGGATAGCATTAGGTTTTGCCCACCACAATAATAATTGCATAGTTTAAAGAATTTCGCCGAATTTCTGCAAGTAATCCGATATATATGTCCAGTTTGAGCCTCTAGTGCAGCTTTTGTTGTTATATATTCCCAATATAAACTCTTTATATTTTATTTGGCTATTAAAATCTTTATGTCAGGCTTTTGTGTTGTTTAATGTATATTTAAAAACTGAGAAGTGCTGTCAGAAACACATTGAAAGCTCTGTATTGTTCAAGACTGAAGCCGCCTTTCCACTGCTCGTGACGAACGACAAGCGACAGAGCGGAAGATCCCATTACAATGCATATGCAGAAAACACTGAGCTGTGGCTAGACTGCATGCGGCTGCACGACCGGCTGTATTCAAGTGTTGTCCACTGCACAAGATACTTTCGTAATCAGAACAAACAGACATCTTTTGAAAACGTCTTCATTGATCATAACCGAGTCAATTAATTTAATTTGCTTAATGACGTTTACATGTTCCCTCCAAAACTGTTGGCGGTCGATGTATTTGTGTTTACATTCATTCCACCATAGTGAATACACTGAGAAGAAAGGCTCTTGCTTTCGCAGTCCTTTACTGGACACACAAACAAATCAGTGTGGGCAAAATACGGCCTGCTTCGTTAAGTATCAGAATTTTTGTGTATATATATTGTATATATACCATAATATTCGTAATTTAGTATATCACACAATTTGATGAGATTCTGTAGGCCATTTTCACAAAAATAGCCATGCAGGTCACAAGGAACAAGATTATCTTGTATGTTGACACATTCGACTACAATAAAATATTGAGAGCGACGGCCACTAGGGGGCGAATTCTGATAGTCGTGTCTGCACGTATAGCAGGGACACATCAAGCCGACGGTCGGTTGTTTCTCAAAATATTTGCAAATGATATGGATTATTAGAGGCGCGACAGTGCTAACAACTCAAAGCAAGAAGGTCACTGTTTCGAGTCCCAGCTAGGTCAGCTGGCATTTCTGTGTGGAGTTTGCATGTTCTCCCCGTGTTTTTGTGTTTCCCCCACAGTCCAAACACATGCGCTGTAGGGGAATTGATGAGCTAAATTGGCCGTAGTGTATGAGTGTCTGAGAGAATGAGTGTGTATGGGTGTTTTCCAGTACTGGGTTGCGGCTGGAAGGGCATACACTGTGTAAAACATATGCTGGAGAAGTTGGCGGTTCATTCCGCTGTGGCGACCCCTGATGAATAAGGGACCAAGCCGAAAGAAAATGAATGAATGGATTATAAGACTATCTGATGTGTTTGCACAAGCGAATCTCTCCATGGTGAGCGACATTTACTGTGATAATCATGCTAAACGCTTTGTTTACACTTGTGGCCATTTCATCTTCTAGTTTTTCTTTGTGGAATGAGAAAACAGATCACTGCCCCCTGCTGGAGCAGAAAAAGGTGCAGAACGCATGTTCTAGTTTCAGTCGGCTGCCGTCTGCCGTTTGGTGCGTTCATGTGCAGCTTTTGGTCCAGACGGAACCAGATAACTTTGGTTTTCGTCTACTTTAGTGGTTTGGCGTCACCTTACCGTGTCCTGGCATGAATTGGCTTGATTTAGCATTAAATTCAAAATAATTGACCACAGAATCACACAGAAGTGTGTTAATGTTTTAGGATGAAAACACGACTCGTCCTTGATTCTACAAGTTGGGTTATTGCGGTCGAATTTTAGAACAAACTTTACAAAAACTCACTCGTTATTGCGTTTTTATTTTTTGCTCTCGCAAATAATCTGTACCGTTATCAGGGGTGTAAAGGTGCCATCTGATTTGCATAAATAACTTATGCGTGCCAAACAAGAAAATGCTTAGCACAGATAGTTAATTTATTGCGTTTCTCTGCGATATTCATTCATTCATTTTCGTGTCAGCTTAGTCCCTTTATTAATCCGGGGTCGCCACAGCGGAATGAACCGCCAACTTATCCAGCATATGTTTTACACAGTGGATGGCCTTCCAGCCGCAACCCATCTCTGGGAAACATCCACAAACACAGACACACACTCTCATACACTAGGGACAATTTAGCCTACCCAATTCTCCTGTACCGCATGTCTTTGGACTGTGGGGGAAACCGGAGCACCCGGAGGAAACCCACGCGAACGCAAGGAGAACATGCAAACTCCACACAGAAAACGCCAACTGAGGCGAGGCTCGAACCAGCGACCTTCTTGCTGTGAGGCGACAGCACTACCTACTGCGCCACTGCTTCGCCCTTCTCTGCGAAATCCCTTTCCAAAACCTTTATATTCACTGTTCCGTACTGGTGGAACGACCTTCCCATTCCCACTTGTAATGCTGATTTGCTACAATCTTTTTCCACAATCAACTGAACCTAGGGTTGGGCGATGTCGACCAATTTGGCATCGTACGATGTCTAATGTGAAACATCGCGAAGGACGATGACATTGTCGACCTAGGCGGCGGTGAATTCATTATTTATGAATAATTAATTAACTCATAACGAACTACCATTTTAGTTTTACCCATAACCAAATCATCAATAAATGAAGATAAGCTACACACAAATGACCACCTGTCAATCACTTTTTCCGCGGGACTCATGAATAGGCAATGTGATCTGTGTCAGTATAATAGCGTCCGCAATCTTGGTTGCTAAAAAGGTGCTCAACCAACAGCATCTGAGGTTTACACAAAATAACTGAGTACGAGCGTGAAAGAGAAAGACTGCAGCAGTGTGACACATGACCTGATAGACTCAAAAGAACGAAGAGTCGCTAAAAAGACAAGAGGAATTAAATATTACGTTGAACAACTACTGTGAGACGCCATCCAGCGGCGAATCCTTGATAAACTGTCTGACGTGCACTGCTCTCTGGGGGTTTGTGCTCAAAGCACCCGCTGGCTGCTGGAGCTCAGACATCCGCATATGCTGCAGCGCATGACTGTGTGCATGTGCGTGGTCACATGACGTGCGTTTTCGGTTGTATAGTGAGAACGGAGGGCTGTTCAGAAATGCTGCGTAAAACGCCAGAGTGGATCGTTTTTGTTTAAACATGCCATTTTGGAACAAAAACCAAGACGTGTTCGCGTAAACGGAACCTGAGTGTGTGTTTTTCGCGAGCGGGTTGCTGCTTCGATGGGGGCAGGGCGGAGGATCGCGATGCCTTCTCAGCATCCCGATGTCTATCGGCCATCAGCGATGGAAGAATGCATCGTATATCGACCGAACCCACCCTGAACCCCTCTTAACAAAACCAGGACCCTTCTTTTCTCCTCCACACGACAACCTCAAAACATTATTTAATTCTGAGTGTGCCTCACGCAGGTGAGTGGGGTTGACAAACCACCTGTAGAAACACTTTTCTCTCTCCAGAACTCGAGCACTTAATTCTGCGAGCACAGATAGTTTCTTTGTATAATCAGCACTTGTTATTGTGAATCGCTCGTCAATTTTAAACCACTTTGGACAAAAGCGTCTGCTAAATTACAATATATAAAGGTAAAATATTGATATTGCATACGCTACTATCAAAATAAAAACACACCAATGTAAACGACACCGACGCTAAAGCGACCAGTCTAGATTTTGCGGTTCGTTCACCTCCAGGAACTGCGCGTTGATCTTGAACTCAGGAACGGGTCGTCCCTGCTCAGTGGCAGCCTGCCTGCGCTCCTCGATGCCCCTGAAGAGGTGACTGACGGCCCGTGGAATGATCCCCAATTCCTCATCAGTGATGTTCACGTCAAACCCGGTGCCCATGGTGTACGTCTTTCCCGAACCGGTCTGAAAGAAATAAACATTCAGGACGGAAGATTAGACAACACAAACCACTCTGCAGAAGACATGAGTTGTGCAGTTTGGCGTGTTCTGAACATTCTCTTTACAGAAATACTGCAGATCATGTCCGACTTAAAGAGATCTAACAACGACCACTCGTTAAAAATTAAATCCAGTTTCAAGCTGTTTCAAAGCTGTAGAAATTGATTTGTTCTTTGTGAAGAATCGGAGTAACTGAATTTAAAATATGAGACAATTTAGTCTAATAAATTATTCTTTAGTGATTTAAATAAGCACTATTAAGAAGTTTGTTATTATTTTCCATGAAACAAGCATCCATTAATGCTGAATGATATCAGAACATTTGTTCAGCGATATTTAAACATTTTATTTTCACATATATTACCTGGTACTTGCATTTAATTAAATTTATGTTTATAATTTTTTTACATTTTAATTGGCCAAAATGGGGAGTTCGTTCGTTTGCTCAATCATATGTTCGTTCGTTTGTTCACTCGTTCATATGTTCGTTCGTTTGATATCTCGTTCATATGTTTGTTTGTTTGTTCACTCGTTCATGGTCATTTATTCGTTTGATATCTCGTTCATATGTTTGTTCGTTTGTTCACTCGTTCATATGTTCGTTCGTTTGATATCTCGTTCATATGTTTGTTCGTTTGTTCACTTGTTCATGGTCATTTGTTCGTTTGATCAATGGTTCATGTTCGTTCATTTGTTTACTTGTTCATATGTTTGTTTGTTCATTCACTGGTACATATGTTCGTTTCTCCATTCATTTGTTCACTCATTCATATGTTCGTTCGTTTGTTCACTCGTTCATGGTCATTTATTCGTTTGATATCTCGTTCACATGTTTGTTTGTTTGTTCACTCGTTCATGGTCATTAACTCGTTTGATATCTCGTTCATATGTTTATTCGTTTGTTCACTCGTTCATGGTGATTTGTTCGTTTGATCAATGGTTCATGTTCGTTCATTTGTTTTCTTGTTCATATGTTTGTTTATTCACTCATCCGAATCATATATTTGTTCCTTCGTTCAATTGTTCACTCGTTCATATGTTCGTTCATTCGTTCACCTGTTCATATGTTCGTTTGTTCGCTCACTCGATCATATGTTTGTTCATTCACTGGTACATATGTTAATTTCTTCGTTCGTTTGCTCAATTGTTCATATGCTCGTTCATTCGTTTACTCGTTTATATCTTTATTCATTTGTTTGTTCACTCATTCATATGTTTGTTCATTTGTTTACCCGTTCATGTGTTCCTTCATTCACTCACTTGTTCATATGTTTGTTTTGTCATTCACTGGTACATATGTTCGTTTCTCCATTCATTTGTTCACTCATTCATATGTTCGTTCGTTTGTTCACTCGTTCATGGTCATTTATTCGTTTGATATCTCGTTCACATGTTTGTTTGTTTGTTCACTCGTTCATGGTCATTTATACGTTTGATATCTCGTTCATTTGTTTGTACGTTTGTTCACTCGTTCATGGTCATTTGTTCGTTTGATCAATGGTTCATGTTCGTTCATTTGTTTACTTGTTCATATGTTTGTTTGTTCATTCACTGGTACATATGTTCGTTTCTCCATTCATTTGTTCACTCATTCATATGTTCGTTCGTTTGTTCACTCGTTCATGGTCATTTATTCGTTTGATATCTCGTTCACATGTTTGTTCGTTTGTTTACTCGTTCATGGTGATTCGTTCGTTTGATCAATGGTTCATGTTCGTTCATTTGTTTACTTGTACATATGTTTGTTTGTTCACTCATTCGAATCATATGTTTGTTCCTTCGTTCATTTGTTCACTCATTCATATGTTTCGTTCATTCGTTCACCTGTTCATATGTTCGTTTGTTTGCTCACTCGATCATATGTTTGTTCATTCACTGGTACATATGTTCATTTCTTCGTTCGTTTGTTCACTTGTTCATATGCTCGTTCATTCGTTCACTCGTTTATATGTTTATTCATTTGTTTGTTCACTCATTCATATGTTTGTTCATTTGTTCACCCGTTCATATGCTTGTTCATTCACTCACTTGTTCATATGTTTGTTTGTTCATTCACTGGTACATATGTTCGTTTCTCCATTCATTTGTTCACTCATTCATATGTTCATTCGTTTGTTCACTCGTTCATGGTCATTTATTCGTTTGATATCTCGTTCATATGTTTGTTAGTTTGTTCACTCGTTCGTTTGATCAATGATTCATATGTTAGTTCATTTGTTTACTTGTTCATATGTTTGTTTGTTCACTCATGCGAATCATATGTTTGCTCCTTCGTTCGTTTGTTCACTCGTTCATATGTTCGTTCATTCGTTCACCTGTTCATTTGTTCGTTTGTTCGCTCACTCGATCATATGGTTGTTCATTCACTGGTTCATATGTTCACTTCTTCGTTCGTTTGTTCACTTGTTCATATGCTCGTTCATTCGTTCACTCGTTTACATGTTCATTCATTTGTTTGTTCACTCATTCATATGTTTGTTCATTTGTTAACCCGTTCATATGTTCGTTTGTTCACTCACTTGTTCATATGTTCCTATACTTGTTCATTCACTGGTACATATGTTCGTTTCTTTAATTATTTGTTCACTAATTTATATGTTTGTTCATTTGTTTCCTCATTTATATGTTAGTTCCTTTGTTCACTCGTTCATCTTCGTTTGCTCGTTCATATGTTAATTTGTTTGTTCAATCAATCATATGTTTGTTAATTCATTAGTTTGTTCTCGTTAATATGTTCGTTTGTTCGTTCGCTCAATCGTTGATATGCTTGTTTGGTAATTTACTCGATTATACGTTTGTTCATTTGTTAGTTTTTTCACTCGTTAAAGTTTGTTCGTTTGTTTACTCACTTGTTCATACATTCTTTAGTTTGTTCACTTGTTCATGTTTGCTCATTCGTTTCTTTGTTCACTTGCTCATATATTTGTTCGTTAGATTGTTCACTCGGTCATGTTTGCTTGTTCATTTGTTTGTTCACTCATTCATATGTTCGTTTGTTCATTTACTCGATCATGTTTGTTCATATGTTTGTTTACTTGTTAATGTTTGTGTAATCGTTCATTTTTGTTCACTCGTTCATATATTTGTTTTATCAGTCCGTTCACTTGGGCATGTTTACTTGTTCATTTGTTTGTTCACTCGTTCATGTTTGTTTATTTGTTTACTCATTTATATGTTCGTTTATTCATTTACTCGATCATGTTTGTTCAGTTGTTTGTTTGTTCACTGGTTCATATGTTCGTTCGTTAACTTAATCATGTTTGTTTATTCGTTCGTTCGCTCATTTTGTTTGTTAATTCATTTATTCTCTTGATATGTTTGTTAATTCGTTTGTTCACTCGTTCATATGTTCGTTCATTCACCCGTTGATGTTTGTTCGTTTGATCCTTTGTTCACTCATTCATGTGTTCGTTTGTTTGTTCACTCATTCATGTGTTCGTTTGTTTGTTCACTCATTCATGTTCATTTGTTTGTTTGTTCACTCATTTATGGTCGTTCATTCGTTCAATCGATCATATGTTGGTTAATTCATTTGTTTGTTCAGTCCTTACTGTTCATTAGTTCATTTGCTCACTCGCTCATTTTTATTCACTCATTCATGTTCAATCGTTTACGTTTGCTCATTCATGTTTGTTTGTTTGTTCACTTGTTCATATGTTCGTTCGTTTGTTCACTCGTTCATATGTTCATTCATGTACTTTTTCATATGTTCATTCATTTGTTTACTTGTTCATATGTTCTTCGCTCATTTGTTCACTCGTTCATATATTCGTTCGTTTGTTTGTCCACTCACTCATATGTTCGTTTATTCATTCTTTGTTCACTCATTAATATGTTTGTTTGTTTGTTCACTCGTTCATATGTTCATTTATTTTTAACCAATACACAATTTAAAGTCTAAATTGTTCCTTTGTAAAAAATAAAAAAGAAAGTAAAGAAAACAAGTTTCCCTGTCGGGAATTGACTTTTTAAAGCTACAGCAGTCTTCTGTGTGAGCTGGGATTGATTTTAAGAAAAAAAATAATTCTTCCATTAATGATAAAAACATCTACTGGATTTAATTTGATCCAATTGTTTATTTGATTTGGAAATGTGATCAATCGATTGCAAACCGGAAAAAAATGTAAAAGAAAAACCAATTTGATAACAGTCATTATTTTTCCAATTTAATAAAATGTCCTATTTATTTTTTGCTGACACTAGAAATCATTAAAGCTCCTGACACAAGCTGTCAGTAGATAAAAGGTCACATAAGATTATTTTGAGGTTATATATCTCACAAATGATACAAAATCTCTCTGAGTGAGTCCAAACTCCTGAAAATAGCATTGAAAAGTTAGGCTTCATGGTCTGTGTAGTTGATATGGTTGGTAGACGTGAACTAGAGACATTTTGTGTTTAGCAGGGGCAACAGAGGGGGGGCCGGACACCCAGACAAAAGAAGTCCGGGGTCTCTGTTGCTATCGACACACTGAGGAATGACACGCGGAGCCTGAGCGCACATCACCCGCTGACAGCAGGACCAGACCCCCAACAACAGGGGAGAAATAACAAAGACTGAGGAACACACACAAAGAGACTCTCATGAGGGAGCGTTCTATCATGATTCAAAGACCTTTAATATACCAACTCTGCTAAGAGGAATAGCCCTTTTCAGTAATGAGTTTGATTTAAAAAAATAAAAAGGGGGGAAAAGCTTAGGGCGTTCCTGTCAGAACATGTCTGTCAGTCAGTTTCAGGGAAAAAAAAAAAGTTTAATGATTTATTCGCTGCACTTGAGGCAAACAAGACGAGCTACACAACTGCTGATATCTGAGAAAACAATTACAAAACAGTTGATCATTATTAATCAATGCATTTTATAAAATTAACAAACACATAAACAAAATAAACAAATAAATAAATGCATAAGCCAACAAATAAATAAATAAGCAAACAAACAAACTAATAAAAATAAATAAGCAAACTAATAAACAAAATAAATTAATTAATAGACTAAATTGAACAAACAAACAAATAAATACACAAGCAAACAAACTAACAGACAAACAAGCAAATGAGCAAATAAAAAATAAATAAATCAATAAATAAAACAAACAAATAAATACACAAATCAATAAGCAAATAAAAAATAAAATAAATCAATAAATCAAACAAATAAATACATAAATAAGCAAACAAACTAATAAAAATAAATAAGCAAACTAATATACAAAATAAATAAAAAATAGATAGATAAATTAAACAAACAAACAAATAAATACACAAGCAAACAAACAAACAGACAAACAAATAAATAAGCAAATCTTTTTTTAAATAAATAAATAAATCAAACAAGCAAACAAATAATTAAAAAATAAGCAAACAAACAAACTAATAAAAATAAATAAGCAAACTAATAAACAAAATAAACTAATAAATACATAGGTAAATTAAACAAACAAACTAATAAAAAAAATAAATAAATAAAGATAGACAAATCAAACAAACAAAATAAACAAATAAATAAATTAAACATACAAATTCACTAATAAATAAAAATATATACAAACAAAATAAATAGATAGATAAGTTGAATTAGTTAAGGTCTCATTACATTCTGTTTCTTGTCCTCTGACCATCTTACCTGTCCGTAGGCAAAGATAGTGGCATTATATCCTTCAAAACAGCCCTCAATGAGTTTCTCAGTGCAGTTGCTGTAGAGGCTATCCTGCTGCGAGTCCATGTCAAAAACATAGTCAAACGTGAAGGCCTTGTCTTTTCCCAGAATGACCTGCGGCTCCCCAGGAGTCACAAGTGTGCAGATGTGACACCCCTCGATCTTTTCCTTCGCCAACTGTGGACGAACCCTGGAAAAAACATAGATTATTGATTGAAATACAGGATCACTGAGTAAGTGTTTTGGTGCTGGGAGAACAGAAAAAATTCAATTACTTTGTTTAAAGAAGTAGCTAGTGATCTGCACTCCTTTAATAATTCATTTAAATACTTGATTTTACTGGTTTTGACGTTTTTCATTGTACATTATTTGACAGAAACAAAACTAAACAAAATTAATACTCAAAACTAAAAACAAACCAAAAATAAGACTTATGAAATGCTAAAAGTCTGCGAGAATCGGAAGTTGTTGTGACTTTCATTTCAGTTTGCTGAACAAAATAAAACAAAAAAGTTTAAAACACGAAAATGAAAAAACAAATGACAACAAAAATGTTGATGAAGTCTAGAACCAGATGTTGCTGAGACTTTCAGTTTGCTGATGTACTTCTAACTGAAACCTAATATTTATTAGAGGGCAGGGCATTCTTTTTGTGCATCTTTCCATAGTTTTTTTATTTTACATTGTTTGGAAAACAAAACCACAAACATTTCAACTCAATGCCTTCCTCGGTTTGACATTGTACAAATAAGATTTATATTAAGCCCCAAATTCAACAAAACAAACAAAAAACTAAACTAAACAAAAAAGAGCACAGAGCAAACAAAAAATAAAATAAAGAACACAAAACTAAACAAACAAAAAACTAAACAAAACAAAAAAGAGCACAAAACAAAAAAAAAAAACACAAAACCAAAAAACTAACTAAACAAACAAAAACAAACAAAAAACTAACAACAAAAAAATAACAAAACAAATCAAAGAAAAATTAAGAAAACCAACAAAAAACTAACAAAACAAACAAAAATAAAACTAAATAATAAAAAACTAACAATCAAAATACAAAGAAACTAAAGAAACGAAAAACAAACAAAACCAACAAAAAGCTAAGACAACAAACAACAAAAAACTAACAAAACAAATAAATCAAACTAAAAAAGTAAAACAAACAAAACAACAAGCAAAAATAACAAAACAAAGACAGCAAAACAAAAAACAACAAAACAAACAAAAGACAAACAAACCAACAAAAAGCTAAAAAACAAAAAAAAACAATCAAAACAAACAAAACCAACAAAAGACAAACAAAACCAACAAAAAGCTAACAAAACAAACAAAACAATCAAAAGACAAACAAAACCAACAAAAGACAAACAAAACCAGCAAAAAGCTAACAAAACAAACAAAAAACAAACAAAAATAACAAAACAATCAAAAGACAAACAAAAACAACAAAAAACAAAACAAACAAAAATGAAAAACTAAAAAAAAAACAGAAAAAAAAACAAAACAAATAAAAAACCAACAAAAGACTAACAAAACAAAACATAAAAAAACAAAAAATACACAAAAATAAAAACCAAATGACAAGTCTGAACCGGAAGTTGCTGAGACTTTCATTTTAGTTTGCTGATGTATTTCTAACCAATCTAAATATATACATTGGGCAGGGCTTTCTTTTTGCACATCCTTCAATAGTTATGAGTGCGAATAACTAGCTACTTATTGAAACAAGTTTGGTAAAAGATCAACACACCGAATAAAGAATCAAGCGAAGCAAGAGTGCAGTGCACACTACACTAATGCACTTAAAATACTTTCAAATGAAGGAGTGAATGAAACGGTATATCAGATATTACATTGTGATGTTGTACGATTTAAATTCGTGAAAACAACAACAACAAATTCAACAAATCTGAGGCGCTACATAGCAAAGTGTCAATTTTAAGGATGCAAACATTACATCTGATGCCTACAGCATAACTAGCGATTCATGCTAGGTTGATAACTAACATATAAGGGGCCGAAAAACATTAAAACATGGGATTTGTGCTTCTAATGCTTCCAAAAAGTCTTCAGGAATACTAGATTCACTGAAAGTGCCATGAATACGAGTATGTTTCTGAACAGAGAGTCTCTGTTCCAGCAGAGCGAGAGAGGAAGCTCTGGCTACACGGTAGGTAAACAGTCACACCCCGGGCTTCATTTACTCACGTTTTTCTGCTTTCATTATTGAAACCTTTCCTTCAACGCCAACTGCTGCTCTGCCTTTTCATTTTCAGCACTTATTCTGATATTTCTGAAGAGTTGTGCATCACAAAAACAATGCTAATGACTTTTTGGTGGCTAGAGAAAGTCTTCTTCTGAGGCAAATTTTAAAGTGCATCTTCTCTCGAGCCTTTCAAGCTACATCCTTCAAATTTCTGGTAGACCTTCAGACTAGTCTGACTCGGGTTGCTATGTCTTTTCTGACTGATCCGACTTTCGGTTTTCCAAAAAATGAGCCGGGAAATTGCGAAAAGCCCCATTGACTTAGCATTGAGCTCATAACTCATAACCCAAATCACCCCAAGAATGCAACGACAACCCATCCAAGAGGTCACAAAAGACCCCACAACAACACCCAAAAAACTGCTGGCCTCAGCTGAGGCGAGTGTTCATGACTCCACCATAAGAAAGAGAACGGGCAACATTAAACCGTGACAATGAGTGAGAAATCAGGTAGGGGCAAAGACTTTTTTCCACCACTTTATATCCACAATATATACGCAGTTGTTTGTTGTGCATAGGTGTTTCCCAGTACTGGGTTGCAGCTGGATGAAGCTGAAGAAATAATAATGAATGAATGAGTTGGCGGTTGATTCCACTGTGGCAGCCCCCTGATGAATAAAGGGATGAAGCTGAAGAAATAATAATGAATGAATGAGTTGGCGGTTCATTTCACTGTGGCAGCCCCCTGATGAACAAAGGGATGAAGCCGAAGAAATAATAATGAATGAGTTGGCGGTTCATTCCGCTGTGGCAGCCCCCTGATGAATAAAGGGATAAAGCCGAAGAAATAATAATGAATGAATGAGTTGGCAGTTCATTCCACTGTGGCAGCCCCCTGATGAATAAAGGGATGAAGCTGAAGAATCAATAATGAATAAATGAGTTGGCGGTTCATTCCACTGTGGCAGCCCCCTGATGAATAAAGAGATGAAGCTGAAGAATCAATAATGAATAAATGAGTTGGCGGTTCATTCCACTGTGGCAGCCCCCTGATGAATAAAGGGATGAAGCTGAAGAATCAATAATGAATAAATGAGTTGGCGGTTCATTCCACTGTGGCAGCCCCCTGATGAACAAAGGGATGAAGCCAAAGAAATAATAATGAATGAATGAGTTGGCAGTTCATTCCACTGTGGCAGCCCCCTGATGAATAAAGGGATGAAGCTGAAGAATCAATAATGAATAAATGAGTTGGCGGTTCATTCCACTGTGGCAGCCCCCTGATGAATAAAGGGATGAAGCTGAAGAATCAATAATGAATAAATGAGTTGGCGGTTCATTCCACTGTGGCAGCCCCCTGATGAACAAAGGGATGAAGCCAAAGAAATAATAATGAATGAATGAGTTGGCAGTTCATTCCACTGTGGCAGCCCCCTGATGAACAAAGGGATGAAGCCAAAGAAATAATAATGAATGAATGAGTTGGCAGTTCATTCCACTGTGGCAGCCCCCTGATGAATAAAGGGATGAAGCTGAAGAATCAATAATGAATAAATGAGTTGGTGGTTCATTCCACTGTGGCAGCCCCCTGATGAATAAAGGGATGAAGCTGAAGAATCAATAATGAATAAATGAGTTGGCGGTTCATTCCACTGTGGCAGCCCCCTGATGAACAAAGGGATGAAGCCAAAGAAATAATAATGAATGAATGAGTTGGCAGTTCATTCCACTGTGGCAGCCCCCTGATGAATAAAGGGATGAAGCTGAAGAAATAATAATGAATGAGTTGGCGGTTCATTCCACTGTGGCAGCCCCCTGATGAATAAAGAGATGAAGCTGAAGAAATAATAATGAATGAATGAGTTGGCAGTTCATCCCACTGTGGCAGCCCCCTGATGAATAAAGGGGTGAAGACAAAGAAATAATAATGAATGAATGAGTTGGCAGTTCATTCCACTGTGGCAACCCCCTGATGAACAAAGGGATGAAGCCGAAGAAATAATAATGAATGAGTTGCCGGTTCATTCCGCTGTGGCAACCCCTGAAGAACAAAGGGATGAAGCCGAAGAAATAATAATGAATGAATAAATGAGTTGGCGGTTCATTCCACTGTGGCAGCCCCCTGCTGAACAAAGGGATAAAGCCAAAGAAAAAATAATGAATGAATGAGTTGGCAGTTCATTCCACTGTGGCAACCCCCTGATGAACAAAGGGATGAAGCCGAAGAAATAATAATGAATGAATGAGTTGGTGGTTCATTCCACTGTGGCAGCCCCCTGATGAATAAAGGGATGAAGCTGAAGAAATAATAATGAATGAATGAATGAATGAATGAATGAGTTGGCGGTTCATTCCACTGTGCCAGCCCCCTGATGAATAAAGGGATGAAGCTGAAGAAATAATAATGAATAAATGAGTTGGTGGTTCATTCCACTGTGCCAGCCCCCTGATGAATAAAGGGATGAAGCTGAAGAAATAATAATGAATGAATGAGTTGGTGGTTCATTCCGCTGTGGCAACCCCTGAAGAACAAAGGGATGAAGCCGAAGAAAAAATAATGAATGAATGAGTTGGCAGTTCATTCCACTGTGGCAGCCCCCTGATGAACAAAGGGATGAAGCCAAAGAAATTATAATGAATGAATGAATGAGTTGGTGGTTCATTCCACTGTGGCGACCCCTGATGAACAAAGGGACTAAGAATGGGTGAATGTCATCATTTACGCACCCTTAACTTGTTTTAGACCTTTATGATTTTCTTTGTTGTTGAACAAAGAAGATATTTTGAAAAATGTTGGAAACCTGTAACCATTGACCTCCATAGTGTTTGATTTTCCTACTATGGAAGTCAATGGTTACTGGTTTTAAGTTGTTTTCAACAAGAAACTCATGAAGGTTTGAAAGGGTGCGTAAACCATTATTTGCTGAACTATCCCTTTTAAGGGTGTCACGTGGCGCAGTGGGTAGCATGATCGCCTCAGAGCAAGAAGGTCGCTGGTTCGAGTCCCGGCTTGCATGTTCTCTCCATGTTGGTGTGA